CATTGGTCAATCAATCTCCAGGAGAAGAGATAGTATACGTCTTGTTGCTAAACGTCTGAGCATAATGGTTAATGGTCTCAAAGAAGACGAAGCTAACCGATCTATTCTTATAAGCCCGGAAAGAAAGGATCCTCTCATCGATGCCCGAACAAATTCACCTTACGTAAAGAATTCAATAACAACATCGCGTTACACGTTTTGGAACTTTCTTCCTAAACAAATTTGGTACCAATTCTCAAAGATTGCTAATTTCTACTTTCTTTTTGTTGCCGCCTTGCAAGCAATTCCTGGGTTCTCACCGACTGGTCAATTTACTACTATCATTCCGTTGAGTATATTTATCAGCATTGCTATTGCACATGAAGGATTTGATGATTTTCGTAGGCATAGGCAAGATCAGGTGGAAAATAACAAGGAGTGTTCGGTATTAAGAGTTTATCGATCCAGCGATAGAAATGGGGCTTCAAAGAGATTTGGTGTGTGGAATAAGATAAAATGGAAGCAATTGGAAGTTGGTGATCTCGTATTGGTAAAAGCACAAGAATGGGTGCCTGCAGACTTGTTATTGCTCCATTCAAAAGGGGAGAATGGAGCTTGTTTCATAGAGACTGCTGCATTGGATGGCGAAACTAACTTGAAACAACGTCAGGCTCTAAAGGAGACAAACTCTTTGGAAAACATGGATGCTCTTGCTAATTTCGAAGGTATCTCTACATTTTATTTTATTTTTTTTAAAAAATTCTGATTTGCTCGCGTAGCGTACATTTATACATGGTTTACTTGATACAGCCACAGTCACCACCGAGAATCCAAATCAGGATTTATACAATTTTGATGGATCAATAAAGTTACCGAACGGGAAGACACTAGGGCTATCAAACGATCAAATATTGTTGCGCGGTACTATTCTACGTAATACACCCGAGGTATATGGACTAGTCGTATTTACTGGAGAAGAAACAAAACTCCGGATGAATGCTTCGAAGAATATAAGAACAAAAGCTCCGACAATACAACATTTGATGAATCGTGTAGTCATGATAATTTTCACTTTTGTGATATCATTGTCTGTAATATGCACCATACTTGCAGCACTTTGGAATCGTTATGCTGAGAGTAAAGCTTGGTATTTGTTAGGAGCGGAGGGAACGTTACACACAAAGTTATTTACCTTCATCATTCTATTTAATACAATGATTCCAATTTCTCTCTATGTTACCATGGAAATAGTTAAACTAGCGCAAGCTTACTTTATAAATTGTGATTTGGAAATGTATCACAAAGAGACCGACACTCCAGCCGAGGCTCGTACATCAACAATCAATGAAGAATTGGGCCAGGTGAAATATCTGTTTTCTGATAAAACTGGAACTTTGACAGACAATATAATGCTCTTCAGGAAAATCAGTGTAGGCGGTCGGGCGTTCTTGCACGACTTGGATCTGCGTAGAATTGAGGAAGAAGAATTGTTAGCAGCATTAAGACAACCGAGGAAACCATCGCGCTTGCGAAAGAGATTTTCGTTGTCCATAGGACGTAATCGAAGTGAAGGTTCCGAGGATCTGAACAGTATTCAGATGATATCACTAGGGCGTAGAGAATCTACCCGTAGTGGGCATTTTTCAATGATTGCACCGGCAGCCATTGGACCATCTCCGCTTTACACACGAGGCTCGATTTCCAGGTCTTCAACAAGGTCTACCACGAGTAAAAATAAAGATGGCGACGGACAAATCCGTTCTACTCTTGATCTATTGACAATTATACAACATCAGTCCAATACCCCATTTGGCGAGAAAGCACGATTCTTCTTGCTTGCCATTGCACTTTGTCACACGTGCGTTCCAGAGATTGACAAGGAAACCGATGATGTATTTTATCAAGCTGCCTCTCCTGATGAATTTGCACTTGTAACGGCAGCAAAGGAATTAGGTTATGTGGTGATAGACAAATCGATGTCCTCAGTATCGCTTTTGATCAATAACGAGGGCCCGGTCGGATTGAATGCACCGAATAAAGATACAGCAACTTATGAAACCTACCAGATCTTGAATGTCATTGAATTTTCAAGTAAACGTAAGAGAATGTCAGTTATATACCGTCTACCTGATGGCAGGATTTGTTTGCTTTGCAAGGGTGCCGACTCTATTGTTCTTGAGCTATTGAGAGATCCTAAAAATTCGGGACTCAAAGGAAAAGCAACATTGGGTACCGATAAGGAAAAATCGAGCCAACGTGAAGGAGACATAAAAGAAAAGTTTGTGGATGCTAATTTAGGCGCAGAGGAACAGTATCCAATCTCGAATCCCACCATTGTCGATGATTCATTTGCATCCCGTAGTAATTTACATGAACGAAGTCAAAGTGTGAAATCCGAGTTATCCGTGATTGATCTGTTTCCAATT